TCAGCCTCGCCACGTGACATAAAATCATTGCAACATAATGCATTATTAAATATATTTTCCAACTGAAAAAGATAAACTTGACAGACTGTCAGTGAACATTTTCTTACCTTAGAAGAGGTTTGTGAAAATAAACCCTGGCATACATCCACCCATTAGTGTAAGCAAAGCTCAGCAGCCATTCAGAGCAGTCAGCTGTGAGCACAGGGGTTGCCCTTTGCCTCCTTCTCTGCCGTAACTGGAGAAAGAACTTGACTTTTGCTTCTGAGCGTCATTTAGACAAAAGCTCTTATGAGCACAGCTGAGTCCATGGGTCCTTCACCAAGTGCTTACTTCAGTTATTTGTTGGCTTTGATGCTGCTTGGTTGTCTTGATATTGCAAAGGGCTCTTTATGCTTTCGTGATTGATGCTGTTCGTGAATGGGATTAGGGGAAAACACAAGAGTTCCTAAGAGGCTGTAGGATCACTTGTTAGCGTGATCGTGAGAACTGGTGGTGAATCTGTGAGATTACAGTGAATTCTCAGGGAATCCCCCTCATTGAATCCCTTTCCCCTCACAGTTTGGAATCTGGTGCTTTTTTGGAGCTTGGAACTCAGGAATCCTTCAGCAAAGTCTCCTAAGGTGTGTGCTTGTAGCTACACAGAGCCTGAAAATCCTGCCCTAGGCAGCCTGAAAATCCTTCTGGTCTTAGGCAGGGCTTGAGAAATGACCAGGACCCTCTGCAAGAAGGAGATGTTAGCTCCAGGGCCCCAAAGGCTTGGAGCTGCTTATTCTTATGGTGTCTTGAGGGTGCGTGCAGAGATCTCTCTGGATCTCTGATGCTTCCTACACCTGGGGCCATCAGTTGTCCCGCTAATTTATTCTTTGTTTAAATGAAATGGAGGTTGCTTGGTTTGGAGTAGAATTGCACACCTCCTCCCCCTGCTTTTTTTTAATTGGGGATGTTACTATGTCATATCCTTTCTGGGGAAAATTGCTACTTTTTATGCAGAACCAGAATAAGCTTTCCCAAAACGTCAGACTTCCCCAGTGACTGGAAAATCCAGATTTTAATGGAGGCTGTTTTTAAGCATCTGATTGTAAGATTTGCTAGGAATTGTAATTCTGAAATGTAGATGACAGCTAAATATGGGTTTGTCACCTCAGATTCGCAAATAGTAGTAAGAACACACCCCCCTGCAAGTGTAGATATGAAGGTAGCTATTCACTCATCAAGCATAAGGACATTGGGTTGCCTGCATGGGTTCTCAATATATTTTTAGTGTTTTTCTCGGAAAAAGCTTTCCATCCTGTTTTGCTGCTGCAGTGTAACTTTGATGAGGACTAGCTGTGAGAAACTGGGAATAATGCAGCACAGCTATGTGAGAAAGCACATCCACGAGGCAATATCCAAAGGTAGCAACAAGCGAAGGACTTGTACTAAAATATTCTGAAACATGAAGGTGTGCTTTCTAGTTAAAGACAGCACAGGTGTTTTGATTAAAAATTCCATTCCATTTCTGCACTACACAGAACTTTAGAAAACTGTATGTTAATTACTGGGTATGTGCCTGCCTTCATTCAGAAAAGATGACAAAGGAAGGAATCCAGTTTATTTAAAAAGGACCCAGGAAGAAAGCTTTTCTTGTATGCCTGTTTTTCTGAGAACGTGAAAGCTTATTCTACTAAAGAGATATTTTTCATTAAAAATAGTACATAAATATTTTATTTAATAAATGTGTGGCTGGGAGGATTGACTTCAGTGCATACGAAACTTTTTTTTTTTTTTTTTTAATTAAACCAACATCTTGGTGAGCAGAATGAATCTCACATCCCCTAAGGAAACTTCTTTGCACAAGTTTAAAAACAGAAATGTCAAATGCTCTCTTCAGGTGCATGTTTCTAGCTGTGATTGAGTGCCGTGGGTCAGAATTTGGCCCTGGATATTCCTTTAGGCAGCAATATCAAAGAAACATCTGTTATAGCTTTCCAAATGTCTGGCTACTAAAAATTGGGCTGTCAGCTTTTAGTTGCTAATCCATTTATTCTTTTTTAAAGGTTAGGGTTACTGTTGACAAGTGATAGAGCACCGTGGCATGGTCAACCAGCATTGGGAGGTTAGCATATTTAAAAAGAAGGCTTTTTTGGTTTCAATATTAATTCTGTTGGAGAAGGGAAAAGCCTTTATCTGTTGAGATGACTGCAGTGTAGTCAAGGTTTGCATTACCCTTGCTGCACAAGGAGCATTTGTTTAACTGATATACAGGTCTTCTGTAATTACCTTTCTGACCGTAAAACACCCTGGAGGTAGAAGAGGAGAGGTCTTTCCTTTTCCTAACCTATAGCTTACTCTGAAATCTAATAATTCCTCACCGTGAAGAGTAGCCTCTTGGCTACACAGAACCTTTTACACAGCATCTTTCCCTGAAGATAACTTAATCGGGAAGGATTCATAACTTCTGATACAATCTTCTTGTCTTCAAGTTCAGCCCAATAGCCCAGCCAAATCATTCAAGATGAAGTTACAAGATTAATCTTATGGAGTATGAGGGGGAAAAAAAAAGAGATATTAGGTTGAAATGAATTGCAGTAAATCTGTTTTGTTTTTTAAAAAGAAATAAGAGAGAGACAAAAAGTTTTAATTTTTGATGCTATCTTTTCTGCACCTCTCGCTGCTGACTGAGCAGAAGTTCATGGGTCAGGACTACCTGTCAGATGTTCAACTCCATCTTTTATCTCAGTGTACTGCATAAAGTGGCAGTGGGGACACAAACATAGTTGAAGCTGAAAGTAGGAATGAATTCTGAAGAAGAGATGGGTATTGCATTATTGTTGTCAGAGGCATATTTCTGGAAGTGCCAGGGACTTGGGGATCCCTTGGCTCTTGTCCCAGGTAAAGTTGGTCAGGATACTGAAAGTGATGATTTAATTCCGAGGACTGTGGCAGCTGCTTTAGGGAGAGGAATGTAACTGTGTGACCTCCTCTCAGATTGCTTTTCCTTGGGTGTGGGTAGGCTCTCAGGTCTGTGTTAAGTTTTGGCAGGATTCCGAACCCAAGACTTATCTCCCTATCAGTACTCTGTACAACAACTGTGCTCCTTTGGGTCCTGCAGGGCCAAGGAGGCCTCAAAGTTCTTGTTTTGCAAAGTTCTTTAATCTTTCCCTATTTTGGAGAGTAACTGCATGGAGATATTGTATAACAGGGGTATTGATACTGGTCAGACATGCTCACCTCAAGGAAAACACGTGTAATAATATGCCCATTGCTTTTAAAACTGGCTTATTACAGGAGCTCAATTTTTATGATTTTATAAAAATTTATTATTTTATGTTAGCATCAAAGTTAAGCAAATCTGTAGGACAAAATCTGTTTTAGTAACAACTACATCTACTGCAATGAAACTGACATTATTTGCCACATCTACATCAGCCCACATCAGGGGCTATTGAAAGAGGTGTAAACTATGACTTCACATTAAGGAAGGAAAATCCAATATGAAGGTTATATCCTTGTTACTTATTACTTTGTTATTCACAGTTGAAAACAGGACACCAGGTTTCTTACCTACCCTCATAAATAACTGGAATGAATTTCTTTCTTCTAAATTCCAGTCAATAACAAGGATATCTACTTATTGTAGTGTAACAGCACAGAGGCCAGATTTCACTGAGCCACTGGGGATGTTAATTTTTGCTACTTTAGAATGACTTATAAAACAGCATGAAATCCATTCTTATCATGAAGATTATTGCTTAAAGCAATGAGTGAGAGTTACAGTGCTCTCTTCTTTTTGCTGCCATTACTTAGTAACAGGACTCCCATAAATGAGATTACACTGAGAAATGAGGCAGGGCTCAACTAGAACTTGGAATGTTCATGTTTTTATTCAGTGGAAGAGGTAAGTGGCACTAAGCAGAGCTTTAGCAGAACAAAGCAGTGTTTTAGGGCTTCAGACATTTACCTTGCTTACTATTATCCACTTAGACTTTGGGTTTTTTTATTATCCACTACTATTTATCTATTGAGGAGAACAATTCTTCAACGCTCTGAATTAATTATCAATTATCACTCAAGTTAGTTATTTCCTTTTGCTACAGAAAGTTTTACCAAACTTTTACTGGGAGGTGTTACCATTTTGTTTTGGTTTTATTACAGCAAACCTTAGCGTTGCACCTAAACTAACAGAATTCACGCCAGCAACTGTAATGTTCTTACTTGACAAGAATATCAACAGATCAAAAATGCACTTCTTATTTTTTCCTTTGGAACTACAGTTTCTTCATGGCTTCTCTAAGAAATCAGCAAGCCAGAGATGTATTTTATTGTATTTTATTATATCAAACTTCTCCAACCCAAGTTTTGCCTGTTGGTACTTCTACAAAGCTAAATCCTACCTTTCCCCCAAGGTCCTCAAAAAACGAGAGGAGAGTACTGAAGATTTCATAATCTTTAGAAAAACCAACTTAAACATTCCCAGGAAAAATCTGTGCTGTCAAAGCCCATAGAATTCTGTTCATTGACCGTGCGTTCTGTTTCAGATTCTTTTTGCACCTGCAGTATCGCCTTGGTTTTGCAGAGGTTGCACAGACAAGCTCCTGTTCTGAGATATATAGAATCACTGAACAGATGCACATAGTTGCCTCTTCCATGTGTAAGGCCCTGAAATGATAGCAAAACTTAAAGAATAAATAAATAGAGGGACTCAGAATCTGTGTAAGATTAAAGATGATGCTTTTTCAAGGTGATGATAATTATGTTACATATAAGAATTTATGTCCAGTTTCCCTCCACAGACATACGTCTGAAGGAAAAACTGAGCAGTTTAATGTTGGTGCTCAGTGCATGTAGTCTATCAAGTTATTAAGTGATAAGTATTAAGTGATATTTGCACTTAATGTGTGGCATAAATAATGTTGGTATCTCTTTTTCTTTTTACTAATGAAAGGTCCGAGCAGTCTGGATCTCCCAACAAGCAGTCCTCCTCTTCTTCCTGGTCTTTCTTCTTGGAACTTGACCTGGATCATGAGAGATACATCTCCTTTCTTCTCCCATAGAGGACGACACAGTAAGTGCTGTTTATGAGTTCTTCTCAAGAGTCTGTACCTAACTGCCTAAGGATATTGATATAACAGCAGAGGGAAACAATCAAAAGCCAAAGATAAACTATGCATCCTGTCAGCCACTGAGGGCACTAATTTGCCTTAATGTCCCTATCAGCCTCCCATGGGGCCTCCTATCTCCTTGCACATCAGCCCAGGAACCCCATATCCCAAGCTAGACTTGACCCATTGCCATCCCCACAGAGGTGCCTGATGACCTGGGCTGCCCTAGCCAACCCTTCTTCCTCCAAAACAGGGTCCTGAACTGTAATATTTGAGTGCTATGTTTGAATCCACTGATGTAAGTAGAGGTGCTGCATACCAAACTCAGTTTTGCTTGCCATCTTCTTTCGTAACTTCCATTCTCTCCAAAATTAGGGAAACTGTTTTAATCTGTTTTCTGGTACAACATATTTCTGACAAACCACAGCCACTGAAGTAGTATATGCCTACTATATATCTGCTAGCAGTCTATGAGAGGAGTTAAGGTGCTGAGAGGCTAATAAGATTTACTCACCCCAAGTCTGTAATTATCTGCTTGAGGGAAAAGTTTGACCTACCTATATGAAGGAGGCCCATATTTCTTCAAATTTATGTTGCAACCTTTTATGTGTGCAATATATATTCTTTCCACTGGCATACAATATCTGCTCTTAGCTGTTGTATCTGCTTGAACGATGAGGACACACCGATTTCATTTGGGAAGGGACAGTAGTACAATCTTTTTTCTCCACTTGGCTTTCTTAGAAGTTGCAAGAATGATTTTTAATTTATTCTTTATTACTTCTTCCTAAACTCTTTCAATTTTTCAGAAAGAAAAACCATTCTAAGAGAAGATTTTGTTCTTAAAACCTAAAAGCATTGATTCTATCTGATAGCATTACATAGAGATAAATGCACTGCATCTAAGCAGAAATTATTTATTATGTTTTCATCTGGCTGGATGAGACCAAATTCTACCTTATTTTAATCATCTGTTTTGCAAGGAAAGGCAAGAATTTGTTGATGTGTTACCAAAAATTGGATGAGCAGATTACTCTGCTTTATGATCTGTTTTCAAAAAGTCCCCAAAACCTTAACTGATTTGCTTCTTACTACAGAAGGTACCAGTTTGTAAGCTGCTTTCTACTTCAGAAGGTGTCACTCAGGACACATACTTGAAATTCGTTGGGAACTGTAAAGAGGAGCAAGGGTCATTTGTTTGTTTGCTAGCTTTGCAACTTAAGTTTTCCGGAGGTTGGCAGAGCCTTCCCTAAATCAAAGGGGCAGCAGTGGCCCCTAGAGTCATGGTTTCCAGACTGGAACACCTCATATCGTTGCCACTTCAGATATGCAGTGTGTGGAGGACTGATAGGTGAATGCAGAGCAGAGCATCATTCAAGCCTAAGAGAGTAATTCTTAAAACTTCCCTCAAGTCCTCTGAAGCCTTTAGGCACCTGGTAGTACTACCTAAAAGTAGTAGCCTTTAGCACCGGGTAGTAAACTTGTCCCAGGACCACCTCTGCCTCCTGATTAAGTAGTTAATCCAAATTCACACAATACATCCATTAGCAGAAATAAAACCCAACAGTCCTTTACTCAGAGCATTTTCTTATTCTGCCAAAAGCTTTCCTCAATGTTCCCAGCATGAGAGAGATTTCAAAACGAGCGCTCAGTAAAACATCTATTAAAACTTTGTTTGTCTAATCATCTGATGGGACCCATCTAATTAACTGACTGACATTGCTGCAGTGGGAAATGTAAGTTGTCTTAATTACTTTTGTCCTGTGTTCCACTGCGGGATAAATTTATTTGATTGAAAGGCTGTGTAAACCAAAATGTAGGGTCCCTCTTCTTCCACTCAGAATTAAACATTCTGATGGAGTGCCTCTAATAGTTCTGACAGGAACAGTGCTTGATGTTATCTCTGAAAATACGTGCAGCAGTCCCAGAAGATAATCGCTGGCACAACACAATGCACTGAGAGTGAAGCATTTACAAGGCTTTGTCCTATCTTGTCTTGACATTTCTAGATTTGTCTCTATCCAAGCACTGATTCATCATCTACTATCTCAGAGATGCATAATCCACCTACCTCGCAGAAAGCAAAGGCTTTAAGAGAGCAGTGATTTAAAGACTCCTCCTGCTTTCAGGATAAATTCCCAGCTCATTTGGACTTTGTGTGTTGTCTTTTTTGCTTTGTTTTGTTCTTTTAATGCATTCTGCATATGTGGATGAAACTCTGTCCTTAGGCTTACATGATCAACGACATATTTTATTTCTTGTCCTGGTTGGTTGAATATTAATTTTCTCTTCTGTATGGGTATTGCATAAGAAATTGTCACTCCATAAAAACGACTGTGTTTCTCTACCAGGGGCTCCAGGGGACAGGTACCCATTAAGGCCTGGAAGGCTTCATGGCATTAGTACACCCTTCTCTGCCCCATCCTCTACACACCCCCAGCTAACCTGCAGCACGAGACTTTGTGCACGACTCTGACACAAGCATGGCGGCAAATGCAAGAAGTGGAAAAAAATCAAAGTTTGCCCCATCTGAATTCTGTTTTGAAAGAAGAGCTGCTCTTATGAGGATAACAGGCTTAAGGACAGCCCTTCCCTATGTGAAAAGCTGGCAATGGCTTTAGCTTGTTAACTCTTTTCTTATGCAGTTGTGTGGTGTGAACATCTTTCTAGCAGATCCTGCAGTAGCAGCCGAACTCCCCTGCCTGTTCTGAATTAGTTTTGCTCAAAAGACAGAAATACCTCTCTTAGGCTGCACAGCTTTGACTTAATAGCTACTAAAAGCATAATCTAAGAGATACCCTCTCTTAATAACTTTTTAATAATTTTACTCAGCTCTATGTCTTCTGAAAAATAATTTGACAGTGTGAGGGTTTATGTTGTTAATTTTTTGTTTTTACACTTTCTAATGGAGTCTCCTCTGTGAAGAGATCATGATTTTCTGAATTGGGTTGGGGTAAAGAACCACATCTGACTAATTTTACTGTGAAATAATTTGGGGTCATTCTGTTTGCCTAGATGATGCTCAGCAGCTGTTCACTGAGGTGCTGGGTGATTGTCTTTTTTTTTCTCTGTTACATTGAGTGCAGCTTACTGAATTTGAGTACTCGTGCATGCATTCAAAACACTGTTTCATTCACGTGAGTTGAATACCAGCTAAACACTGCTGACAGGAAACTCAATGAGTTTATTTGCCAAACAAAAGGGAAGGTAGTGAGAAAGAGAGCACCAGCTAGACAAATGCATGTTACAGTTAGGTTCCCGTGGCCACTTGTTCTATACATCAAATCAGAATAATATGGACACTTGCAGGACAATAAACATATCATGACATGACCTGACTCAACATGGCATAGTGAGAAACATGGATGTGAACTGATTGATACAATGAATTCCAGTTTGAAAGGTGAGATAAAGCCAGGAGAGGAATAAGCAGAATAATACTTTGTCACAGAGGAAAAAAAGAATCAATGCTGTGTTATTAAAGAGAATGCAAAAGTGATGTACCACCTTAGTTCAAACATACCCTAACTTTCAAAAGAAGTTTTCAATTTTAAAGTATTCTAATATAGTTTGGGAATAGTAGTATAAATGTAATAGATCAGGACTTCAATTAACACTGAATTAATGGAATTGCTTCATATAAAATAACAGATGCTGTGACCGCATATACATGTATATCAACTCTTTGTTTAATGATTAGATTGTCTTTTTGCCATGTGTAATGGTGCTGAAATCCATGGGGAGGAAAATCACAGGCAAAGGAGCATCTGCCTAACTAAGCTGAAAGCTCTGCTAAACAAGGAAGAAGAAAAAAAAATCTTCTTTCTTTTGTTACTCTTTTCCTTATAAATTCTTTTCATCTGCACATAATATGCAGTGGCAGTTCAACATTTTTTCAGTAATAGGGTAACATGCAGCAAGACAACAAATGTCTTTTCTCCTTGTCTCTCAAGTGTTCATTTTCTCTAGAGATCTCTCAAACTTCATGCAAGAGGTCCCTTGTATGAGTTGTCAAAATATGACAGTTCATCCAACTACTGTTATGTGCCAACTGGAGCATGTTTTCTAACAATCCCTGTTAGTCAGTACTTTGGTCTTTGGGTCAGAACTGGCGCTGGAAGCACACTTTCACTTATTGTCCTTGCTGCATGCAGGAGTGACTTGCTGGACAAATATTTCTCACGTGGAGGATGAGCTCTGTCACTTTTATTGCGGGAGGAATGAAAATGAGAGCTGTTGTTGGCTGTGCTACTACCCACACCCCCCTCCTTGCTCTTTTTTCTGTAGCTGTCTTGAAAGACTGTGCTTATAATTGATTGATAAAGGAGTCCTGGCCCTCTTCTTTGTAGCTTGATTTCCACCAAAGAAAGCAGCTGTCAAAGATATTGGTGATTCAGTCCCTGATGCACACTGAGGAATTGGGTGGATATAAAGTATGTGCTGTCATTTTGAGATTCTCTTAACTAATAAACGAATGGTTTATTGTTGTCATTTTCTCGAAGATGTGGCCCATCCAGCTGTGACTCTCCCCTACCAAGGGGGAGTTAATTTAAAAGCTCCCAGTGCTAGGAGAGCACTGGGTTCCCTGAGGAGGTAAGCAGTGTGCCCCATGCTTGACTCAGAAGCTCAAGTATTGAAATCTCCAGTAGTTGTCTTTTATCATCTTCAGAGGTAGCAGCCCCAGGCCAGGCAGTTACTGCCAGTCAGGTATCTGCAAGGGGTGGCTAAGGCCTCAGGTGCCCAAACACAACACTAGTCAGCCTGTCCCAGTGTCTCACCACCCTCAGTGTAAAAGACTTTTTCCTTATATCCAAACTAAATCTCTCCTCTTTGAGCCTGAAGCTGTTTCCCTTGTTCTATCACCACCAACCCTGCTAAAGAGTCTGTCCCCTTTCTTTCCTGTAGCCCCCCTTTAGGTATTGAAAGGCTGCTATCAGGTCACCTCGCAGCCTGCAGGCTTCCTTGCATCACCTTATCACACCTGTGCTTCTATATCAGTGGATAGAAATGGCTTGATGGGGAAATCGAAACTAGATTGAATGCCTTTTGCTCTTTTCTACTCATAGAGAATGGGAAAGGCTTAAGGAACTGGCTTTGTCCCTAGGATTAATAACTGGAAAATCAATTTGTCATTTCCTTGTCATAAATTAAAAGCTTATAGTCATCATAACATGAGTATAATAGAGGTTAGTGAGTATTGATGGAGGTCTCAAAGCTCACTCAGCAGAGCACATCTCTACTCTACAATTTAAATTATGTCTCCTCCACAAGGAATATCTGTCAATATTTGTATAAAGAGACATTCCTTGCAAGAATATTTTATCCATTTCTATACTGCTGGTGATGTGATTGTTGGTGTTTGATGAAGTGGGCCCAGGAGAAAAGTTTTTGTCCCATTTTGATCAGTGTAAGTGACCTCTACATCGTGCGCTTGTATCTGTAGGAGTAGGATAAATTAGCCGTGTTTAAGCTGATTACTTGCCAGTTAGGATGTACATCTTTGAGTTCGTCCTTTTGAGAACAGAGCAGCTCTGCTCTCTCCCTTGTCTGTCTCAGTGAGGCGAGAAAGCAAACACTCTGTCTCAAAAGGGTGATCAGCTGAGAGTAATAGAGAGCGATTTGTGAGACTGAGAAGAGTGAGGGTGAAAAGGACATGTTAAACTCTAAAGGAGAAGTCTATGAGAAAAGTACTTGCAGGTACTTTGGTGTTTGAAAGAGGGCTTGGTTTAAAACAAGTCAATTTAGTCTGTTATTGAGCAGCCAAAGAAAGAACAATCAAAATAGTTTATTTAAAAGCACAGGCAGTTTATGTTTCTCTTTAAAATTATTTTTATCCTAAATAAGGCACGCTTCTGTGATGCATGCTTACACAAAGGATCTAAGAGGATCCAAAGAGTGAATGATCCACAATTTGACCTGCAGCAATGTAGAAGAATATTTTCTGCAGATTATTCTGTTTTGGAAAATTGCTTATACTACTATTTTAAGTCACTTGTTTATCAGAAAGCTTCAGTCCATTTAATTAAAACAGACGTAGTTGCCAGATATTTTAGTTGTTTGTGCCCAAATTATTGCTGATAGCTACTTTGATTAACATAAATTGAATTACTCACAAGACTCTTAGCATCATAGGCATGCACAGATTCCACTGGCTTTTCAACTGGATAGTAGCTTAATTTACTTTTCAGTCTATGATTGGTGTCCTGTATCTTCTTGTATGCCGGAAACTAAGTAATTTATGTCTTCAACCTTTCTTAAACAGGTGTTTACCTTGATTTTATTATAAGCATCACATTTTGTTTCCTTATTAAAAGTGTAACGGTGGTAAAATAGGCTTTAATAAGTTAAACTGTTCTCCAGCATTCACTGAAAATGGATGGAAATGCAAAAGATTCTGGGACCAGGGATTGTTTTTACATGGCGTATTTCAAAAGCTTTTATTCGGCTTCTAAAGGTAAATGGCTGCTTTGTGAGTTTTGCCAGGCATTTGGTGTTGCATTTAAACCTGCTAGAAAAAAGTCACAAAGGAAGGTGAAAGACAGAGGCATAAAAAATGACAGGTAATTGGTGGAAGTAACTGAAATATTGTGAGGGTTCTTAGAATCATAGAATCACAAGGTTGGAAACGACCTACAAGATCATCTAGTCCAACCATCTCCTCATCACCATTGCCACCACAAGCACTAAACGCTATCACGCAGCACGTCATCCAGACACCTCTTGAACACTGCCAGGAATGGCGACTCCACTGCCTCCCTGAGCAGCCATTCCAGTGCCTGACCACTCTCTGAGAGAAAAAGTTCTTCCTTATGTCCAACCTAAACCTCCTCTGGTACAACTTGCGGCCATTACCCCTTGTCCTGCTCGTTGCCTGGGAGAAGAGGCCAAACCCCTCTTCATCACAGCCTCCCTTCAGGAGGTTGTACAGTGCAGTGAGGTCTCCCCTGAGCCTCCTCTTCTCCAGACTGAACAATCCCAGCTCCCTCAGCTGCTCCTCATAAGACTTGTGCTCCAGACCCCTCACCAGTTTTGTTGCCCTTCTCTGAACACGCTCCAGGACCTCAACATCTTTCCTGTAGTGAGGAGCCCAAAACTGAACACAGTACTTGAGGTGCGGCCTCACCAGTGCTGAGTACAGGGGGATGATCACCTCCCTGCTCCTGCTGGCCACACTATTTCTAATGCAGGCCAGGATGCCATTGGTCCTCTTGGCCACCTGGGCACACTGTTGTTATCCTTATTTAGGGATGTGGTTTATATGGGCGTGCAGCAGCTACTACACCAAGAGCAGCTGATCAGTGGAAAAATATATGTCACACGTAATGCTTTTTTTCATATAAAGTATATTACACTGTCTACAGTGGAGGATATTATGTGAGACGGAAAGCCTGGTGGGAAGTTGACTAACGTTAGGCTTGGAAGACTGAATTCTGTTTGCATAGACTTTGCTGTGTTGCATCAGATAGCATTTCTTTGTCATCGTTTCCTCGTACTGAATAGGACAATAGAACTGAAATTTTGGTCTGATATGAGACTAATTTGAATAAGAGCTTACGAAGAGAGCGGCTATTCTGATGGTGTAGGGAGGGGAGTGGGAGGGCTATCAAATTCTTTAAAGATGCAAGTATGTTTTCATTAAATAGAGAACACTCTGCAGATGTACAAACCAAGCAGCTTCCTTTTTTTATCCTTTTCTATCAAAAAATAACGTGTTTTAAAGGCCATTCAGTTGTATCACATCAGCTGGGGTGAGCTTAGAGGTCTCTTCCAACCCAAGGAATTCTGCAGCTCTACAATATTTTCTGTAACTCACAGCTCGGTGTTTGATTGCTCTTTTGCCCATTTGGGTTTAGTGCAAAGCTTAATTGAGACTTAGCATTTTGTAGATTTAAAACAAATATTAGTTTTGTTTTGTTTTTTATAAAAATCAACCAGGGGACAAGAGAGAAGAGTCACCTGCAGTTTGGGTACAATATCATGGTAGCAAACTCTGTAGTATGAATGCATCCACTGCTGCATAAGCTGAAGCATGCTTCATGTATTGTGAAATTTATATGGAGAAGATGGAGACCTAAAGTGGCAACACGTGCATTCAAATTTAAAGACATGTAATAAAGACATTCTTACATATGAATTCCTCACACTGGATGGTTTCCATGGCGTTCTGAAGCAGAGAAAATGCTGTGAATGTAAAACAGCTGTGTGCAATGAGGAGCACCTGGGTGCTGCTGACCCTACCCAGAGCTGAGCAGAGGGGGCAGAGCCGGCAGCAACCACTCACTGCTCAGGGCATGGCACCTCAGGTGGGGGGTGGCAGGGGGTGTGGGAGGACAAAAGGGGACAAAATGCGTATGTCCAACAGCTGGGGGTTGCTCTATAGCTGTTTGCACTAGTGAAGGGCATTTATCCTACTGGATCCAGGAGGCAAAATAATGAGTGCTCATCTTAGAGCGGGGGCTGGAGTTCCAGTTGGGAAGGAGGGAGAGAAGGTGGTGGAGCTGCACTATCTGCCGAATGCTCCGATGGCTTCACCTGACTGGAGCTACAGACTCCTGGGAGTACTCTATTCAGTGCTGGGGCCCCAACATCAGAAAGACATGGAGCTGTTGGAGCAGGTCTAGAGGAAGCCATGAAGATGCTCAAAGGGCTGGGATGCCTCTTCTATGAAGAAAAAGTCTCAGGGAGCTGGGCTCGTTTAGCTTGGAGAAGAGAAGGCTCAGGGAAGACCTCATTGCTGCCTTCAAGTTCTTGAAGGAAGCTTATGAACAGAAGGGAGATTCGCTATTAGACCATGTGAAGAAGTCATAGGACGAGGACTAAAAGAGGGGAGATTTAGGTTAGATGTTAAGAAGAAATCCTTTACTGAAAGGGTGGTGAGGCCCTGGCACTGCTGCCCAGAGCTGTGGGTGCCCCATCCCTGGAATTGCCCAAGGCCAGATTGGATGGGCCTGGGGCAGCCCTGCCCATGTCAGGGGTTGGGGCTGGATGGGCTTTAGGGATCTTTCCAACTCAAACCATCCTGTGATTAAAAAAATCAAATGTAAACTGGAAAAATAGATTTTGCTCTTTCCAGTTTGCAATTAAAAAGATGAATTAGCATTGAGGGCAATGGTATTAACCTCCAGATTACAAGATGTTGTGTCACAGGAGAACAGCCTGAGGTACAAGAATGTGTGCACACAAAGAAGAAATCGGACGTTTAATAGAGGATGTAATTAAACTTTTAAAATATTCATTAACTTGACTAATGTGGATTCAGATTATTTGTTCCACTTCCACAGCACACATTATAGAAGGCTCTAAAAAGGAGCTGAAATATGTATATATATTGTTTTACTTTTACAGATGCTTTTTCAGGAACATTGAGCTCAGAAATAGTTTCTGTTGGTTACTGAGCATTGTGTTTAGTGCTGACAGGAAAAGAAAAAGTAGACTGGTCATTCTAGGAAATTCAGCAAGCTTGTCACCTAGAAGTACGTAAACTTCAAGGCATTGATATATCTCATGTTAAGCAACTTGTATTATGGTTTGACAGCAGATTGGACATGAAGAAATGATTCACAGCTACAGCAACAGGATATTTCTTTTCTAAAAGAGAAACATCTCCAAAAGAAATGTATGCAGGAGATAAATGCTGGTAGTGCTGCCTGGAGGCTAAAGTTTGCAGCAGCAGATCTAGCTTCTTTTGACCAGAAGCTTTACAAACCCTGGGAGTCAGAAAGGTGGTTCGCAGGGTCAAATCCTGCAACTCCTAGCCTGTCCCACGTGCCTGGGATGTACAAAGTTACTGGCTATTTGGCCCTTCTCTTCATCTGCTAATGGATCTCTTAGTATGGTCCATTTTGGACATATTATTGCTTGTCCCTATCGACTTTCCTTCTACTCATTTAAAAGTCATTCCAGCACAGAGGAAACTTAGCTGAATAAACCTGATATTTCCTTTATCTGTTTTCTTTTTCCAGTATTTGATTGCAATTTTGAGTCTCCTTGTGAGCTGGAATATTCCCTTTCCTCGAAAGATCAGGAAAGCTCCAACAAAGCTTGGCTGAGAGTGAGTGCAGAGGATATCTCACAGCTGAACATTCCGGATGGACCAGAGAGAGATCACTCAGAGAATACACCAAAAGGTAAAGTGAACACAGCTGTGTCACACCTCCATTGGAGTCGTTGATGCTAAGCTGCTAAACCAACCAGCTAAACATTTCCTCTTAAAATACTTTAAGCAGCTGCAATTCTTTTGCTGCAGCAGACAATGAATTCAAACAACATGGGAAACAAAGGCAGTCATGTTGTGTATGAAGTATCTACTTTTGTCTGCAGGATATATAAGGGAAACAGAATATCAACATACCATTCTATAAAGGTTGAATCAGGCTGATGTGTGCAGCAAACAGCATTTGGATGAGAATAGTTGCAATTTAGAAGAAGCCATGAAGTTAAAAGTGCTGTTTTTTAATGTTATATCTGAATAAACTGTGATAGTAAGATGCACAAATTAATGTTATGGAGGCCAGAAATATGCGTAAGATTGTAGAAGGGTTGGATGAGTTCTTGCAGAATATATTCATTAGTGTTTGTTTATGTCTTCGGACTCAAGAAGCCTCTCTCCCAGAGATCTGCAAGTGACAGATCCTGTCATTACTAGCCAGCACCAGGATGTCATTTGCCTTTGCAGACTTTTAGTGTGACTGCTTATAACATCTTTCACATTCAGGCAAATATTAAGGAGAAGTTCAGTGCAGCCTTTGTTCCTGTTCTTGGATTCTGTTTTCTCATCTCTATCAAGAGGACAGTACTTCTCCCAAAAAACTATTATAAATTAATTTCCAAGGTGTCACAGCCAATTGTTTGAACGCTGATTCATCAGCAAACTGAGTCATTTTACTGGGTTCTGTGGATGGAGCATATTTGTGCCATATGCAAATATATTCCAGTCTTCACATCAGAGAACAGACAAACACGTAATAAATTTCTTGATACAAAGATACAGTGAAGTAAAAGTTTGAGGTAAATCACAATGTCTGTTGCTGAGAAAGTATTTCACTTTTTTTCTTTTTAATTCTCATGCAAGCTGTCTGCTAATGAAATTTAGAAATTAAAACAGGTTTGTTTTGGATCGAAAACAGCAGTTGTTGCTTTCCTGGAATGGGAAAAAAATAGGGAAAACAGTGAATGATAAAGTTATCATCCCCAGTGAAGGGCCTGGTCAGGTCATTGTGGTGCTGCACTTTGATAATGAGTGCTTCAGTAGCATTAGAACTTTGTATTTAATCTCTTGGCTTTTTTTGTTGTTAGACTATTTTTTTATCCTTTCTCAATCTGGAATATAGGCAAAAGTTTGTATTCTGCTCTTTGCTCTCATTCCACATACACAGGCTGGTGGATTTAGGTTTATGAGGTGCTGGGATGAAGTCTTTGGGATGAGTGGGGTTTTTTGTGTATGTTTTTTGTTTTGTTTTGTTTTGTTTTTAATAATTGTCAAGTATGTTGAACGTTGGTAATTTTTTCTTGAGCCCGTCTATAGAACTGCAGGTCTGCAATTCACAGATGACTAAAGTCTTTGCATATAAAACCTCGTTTGAAAAATCAACACTTGGAGCTAGCATCTCTCTATTTTAAATCACTTTAATTACAGCTGCTTGGCACAAATAGTTGTGCGGTCTGTTTCATTCTGAAATAATTAAGCACAAGTAATTCCAACCCCTACTGGTTCCTGCAAATTGCACTTCCAATTATCTCAATCTCATTTCATCTCCTTCGCAGACAGAAACGCACACTGATAAACAGACAAGAGAACTAGCTTTTGAGATGGCTTAGGTTATCCTCATCACTTGGCTATCAAGCCATGTTAAGACACTGAGAAGACAAATGCCTTAAGATGAGACATCATACCTTTTATGCAAAAGGTTTGGCAGAAAACCATTGAGAGATCTCCTGAAGAGAGACATTGGAAGGAGTTTTGTGTAATTCTAGTTTTGTTTGGTTTTGTGGGGTTGTTTTGTTTGTTTTGCCCTCTGCAGCATGGTACACCTCAGTGTCTAGGAATCACAACAAATCGTCATGAATTGAACAAGGAAGAACAAGTTTTAAATGTCTCAGCATTTGGTTATGGTCATATCTGAGCACTGTGCTCATTTGACATGTTCAGTGTGTGTTGTCACACAAACCACACATCCCCTGAACACGGATAGGTGGTGAGGTGGCAAAGTTAAATATTAAATTATTCAGGGTTGGGAAGTGGAGGCCTGGTTTGCAAAGATTTGGAAAAGCATGCTTAACCAGACAGTTGTGGCAGGTGAAATTTAATGTAGATTATTTGAAATAAAGTAGTGGGCTAAACAGTCTGATTTTGGTATACAGAAGAGTATATTCTGATGTTGTTGCAATCGTTCAAGCTGATTATGGAGTAAGAATAAACCTACGACTGCTGATGAGTTGTTTCTCCTGAAGCAAATGTCATGTTGGAATTTATTGGGAAGGGAGTAGAAAATAGAAAATAATACTCTTGTATAAATGCGTGGGTCACTTATATCTAGAATAAATCATTCTTCTCTGGTTCCCATATGTCAAAATGTAATTTATCATATCTGGGAAAGTTGTTAAAGGAATGAAAGAGGATGATCTGAAGTATGTAATGGCTCTCTTTTAGGAGCGCTTAAATTGACGAGTGCTGCTCAGCCTGGAAGAGATACTGAAAGGACTACGTGGCAAAGGTCTATAAAAGCTTAGGTTGTCATAAAATTTTTATGAAAATGTAGAGAAGTTTAAAAACTCCCCAAACTTCATAAGACACAGGATGAGCGCAGAAGGAATATTCCTTATTTCTGCTAAAACAGAATTGACCAGCACCAGGTAAAATTAGTAGATGTCAGGCTCAAAAGAAAACCAAATGAGATAGAGTAGAAGTGTGGAACTGTTTTCCAGAGACAACTGTTGGTACTAAAAGACTTGTGTGTACACAAATGCATAGGATACATTCAGGAAGAAAAAGAGTTAATGTCTATGAAATTCCTTTTCTGGCTTGTAGTCTTTGTGCAGTATATCCCCAGAGGCCAGGAGATTAGTCTGGAGAAGTAAAACTGTTTGTTCTCCTTGTCCGTTTATTCTTTCCTCTGTATCTACACCTGTCTGTTTTCGGAGCCAAATGTCTGAAGTTGATGGATCTTAAGTCTGTGCTGGCAGAGTCTGAGTGGTGTTATATTCCTCCCCTATCCTCTGCCCAGTTCCTTCTTCCTGTGTGAAAGAGGAGAGAGATGCACTGTTTCATAAATGTGAAGAGTTGGTGAAAAGGTGTGATTTATGTGCTTAATATTATTTGCCATTTTTGTAAAAGCCTTGCAAATGGTGCTAAACCATTTGTTAGGCAAAAATGTTAAGTGTTTGGGAGGAAGAATTGCAGGACTGTCTGTAGGGATCTGTAGAAGTGTGTCCATCAAGATACTTTGTATGATTTTTTGGGGGACTCTGCAAAAATTCTTCTCTGGAACAGGCTGCCCAGAGAGGCTGTGGAGTCTCTTTCTCTGGAGATGTTCAAGACCCGCCTGGACGCCTACCTGTGCAACCTGGTGTAGGGAACCTGCTTTGGCAGGGGGGTTGGACTCAATGATCTCTGGAGGTCCCTGCCAACCTGTACAATTCTGTGATCTTGTTAAGTGGACCAGTGAATGACAGAATGACTGCTGTGCAGGGTCTAGCTGGCAGACAGAGTAAGTGACGATGCGTTGGAGCTACTAATAATTTCCAGCTTTTTTGTAGGCTCAATGTTAGGGTTGGGGGGACCTCCGGAGATCATTTAATCCAATCCCCCAATTAAAGCAGATGTCCTGTAGTAGGTTGCAGAGGTGGGTTTTGAATATCTCCAGAGAAGAACAACTCTGGGCAGCCTGTTTCAGTGCGCTGTCAAACTCACAGTAAAGAAATGGAAATTACTGTGTTCCAATTTGTGCCTGTTGTCCCTTATCCTTTTGCCTGGCCACCAAAAAGAGCCCTGTCCCATCCCCTTGACAACTGGCCTTTACACATTCACAAGTGTTGATAACATCCCCTCTCAGTCTTTCCTTCTCCTGAACAAACAGCCCCAGATCTCTCAGCCTTTCCTCATAAGGGAGATGCACCAGGCCCACCCCTCATCATCTTTGCAGCCTGATGGGCTCCCTACAATAGTTCTCTGTCTTTCTTGAACCAAGGAGCCCAGAACTGTACATGGTACTCCAGATAATATCTCCCTGTGGGCCATTCTCCTGACTCTTACTCAGAGATACCCGATCCATTCATTGCCATTGCTCAGTTCCATGTACTCCAGACCTTCCCTACCGTAGAGGACTTACCCCACCTCCTCTTTTCTCTTGACCTTCTCTCCTGAAAAACCTGTAGCCATCCATCTCAGCACTCTGAGCTTGTGAGTCATCCCACTACATCTCTCTGAAGTCTGTGATATCTTAACCCTGATACTAGCCTAAAAATTCCAGTTCCCCTTCTTTATTTCCCATGCTCTATGCATTTGTTTTGAGACACTGAAGTTGGGCCCACCTGGGAACTGGCTTACTGGCTGGCATTTCTTTGTGCTGTTCTTCAGATGCTTTCCCACTGGGCTCTGCTCCTATTGCTGTCTGTGGGCAGCCACTGTTGATGCTGCCTTCCCCACGTTAGTATATGAATCAAGACTGTATGTATTGTAATGAGCAGTCAATCCACTGCTTAGGCTTTCAAACTTTTTATTCATGAATAAGCAAAAAGATGCTATAAAAAATTCATGCATTCTGTATCACTGAATGCATTTATTTATTTTGACAAGTGTGATTAATTCTTAATTATTTATGATCCCTCATAGTATATTACACCAGCAAACATACTGCGGTCTATTGTAATGAAGTGTGGGGAATTGTAGATCTTGCAACTGTGGCAATATTTCCTAGGGAAGCAAGTTAGACTATGCAGTTTGTGGTAAGAGTGACTGAAGTGGTGGACTGGAGAAGTTGCACTTTGCAGCAGTATGGTTGTATGTGTTTGTCATGCCCAAATGGAAAGGCCTTTTCCCTCTCTCAAAAACTTGTAATGAGTCAAACCAGCCATACATTCTATAGTTCTGAACCCTTGGTATGAACCAGTGTTTTCCGTACTACAGGGC